TATATATATATATATATATATATATATATATATATATATATATATATATATATATATATATTAATAATATTTTTTATTTATTGTTTATTTCAATTATCTTTTCACTTTATTTCTTGTCAATAATATCATGGTAGAATTTCTAACTACCGATTATATTTCAACATTATTTGTTCATTTGATAATATTATTTACTTTAATCAATCAATCAATCAATCAATTATTCCTTTATGTATATAATTACTTTCACACAACTATTTGTACATGTACATTCGGCTACTAGCATTGTATCTCAAATATTCTTTTACACGTGTATAGTATTATTTATAATATTCAACGATCGTTTTCATAATCCAAATAAATGATCGACTCTTTTAATTTAGAATATCCGTCAAATGAAATCTCTCTATTTGGCTTATATAAAAACTTCTTTTGAAAATCGATTAATTTACTTTATTATTTTTCATTATTTTTTAATGTATAATTATTACTGATTTTTGCCGATGATCGAGCGCCTCCTACTTATAATCACAGTATATCTATATATTTCTTCATTTATGTCTTTTACATATTTCCGCTTCTGACGAGTTGCAAATCGATCACTCAAGTCTTTCTTTATTTTCGCAAATGAAATACAATTATTTGTAAGCCTCTATTACTTCGAGATGTTAAATTTTGTAAATATATATTTTGTAAATGTATAATGATAAAAATTCAACTTTTACTTAATACTAGCTTATTTAAGAAATATAAATAAAATATATCCCTATATGTATATTGATTGAAACAATTACTTTATTTTTTTTCGAATTAATCAGAATAATGAAATTGATTCATTTATAAAAATTAATTAAATGAACAAATAAATATTTTTTTCTGTCTGTGTGCTAGCATGAGTGCCTGGACATGTCTATAGGATGTGCGTAATTCACAATTAACTGATTTATTTAGAAATTCACGTAGAAACATGAATGTTTTCTATTTTAGCAGGTTCATCCATGTATAGCACTTGAACATAAAAAGCGAGACTTCATAATATTCTTTTGTTAATTCTCTCGTGATGTAAACAAGAAGCGTACAATTTTCCATTACAATTTCAGAATAAAGCTTCAAAAGTTACTTAAATCTCTTAATTAAGACGTCAAATTTGGAAAAACTTGTTCTGTAAGTGATTACTCGACTAATTATTTATAACCGCTGCTTTCCCTTATGATGCAGGATATTTTAATTCGATGAGAATAAATGCTATGACTTAAAAACTATATTTACCTTGATTTTAAAGTAATTTTAAGTATTAAATTGTAATGCTTCCGAAAATAGTTCATATTTATTCATTAATAATTGAAGTGCGCACCAGTTTCGTTCATTCACGTGTCCTCAAACTTTGTATTCTTGTGTATACGTAATAATTTTTAGCCTACCTTCATCGAGTACACGTGATATTTTTATTTTTAGATATAGAATAGACTTCTTATTATACATTTGATATAATTATTAGGAATTGGTGTATTTAACAATATTACGATGCTCTCTCATTTAAAATTTTACAGCAATTTCCAACCCTGATTCAAAATAATTTAAACATTGTAACATATGAAGGTAATTTCTATGATATAAAATATCATATTATGTTTTATAATAAATTGCATTTCGTTCAATCTTACGGCCGAAAGAAACTTGGTTCAAATGAAATATTATGGAATAGGTAATTAAATACAGAGATATGTTTTTACATGAGTTAGTAATTATTTACTCTTCTTTGAATCAATATCTAATTGAACGAACAAATAATATTTCAGAATACCAATATAAAAATTGAATTAAATATGAAATTATAGTCCTAATATGAAAAGTCTAAAACATACATGTGATGTGTGTTTTATGTTAAGTTATTTAAATAAATTGGAAATTATTAGAAAAAAAATATCAATTATAAAAATTATAAGTTAAAAATATAATACATATAAGCATAATTGGCTGTATAATAAATGCCCCGATTCAAAATATCAATTGCAATTTCCAAATGTTTATGCAATTTGCAAGTAAGTTATTTTATATTTGTAAATTCATACATATTTAAATTATACTTTTAGCTTCATTATATGATAACCAATTATGGAAAATCGGCAAATAATATTAATTATAACTGTAACATAAAAAGTCAAATGATCTTTAAGGAGAGTATATAATGGACCGAGTGATGCATATGTCATATAGACACAGCGAATGTAGAAATGTAATGAATTCTAAATATATATGACTTTTGATTGTCGTAGAGTAATGAAATTAACGGCAAATGATGAAAATAAACGATGTCTCTATGAAAGCCAAAGACGCGGAAGAGAGGCGTGACAATAAAACTTTTTTTTTTCAGCAAATCAGTCATGAAATACACCTAACGAAAGCCAGTGTGGAATGGAAACGGAGAACGGCCACGTGAGAACAGAGTATCAGGCATATTAGTTCGTGCAACTATTCTCCGTGAAGTAACGAGAAATAATTTATTATATAAAGTCAGTGAGTAAGGTAAAATATGTTAATTAAGACGAAAGACGTTGATTATTTGACTTAATTTTGATGATTTTCTTGTTGCATTGTTAATGTTAATTGTAGACATACTTTTGCTACGACAAAAGTCTACTAATATGGCATCGAATATTTTCAAGCATTTTCAGCATGAATTTTATTTTGAAAGATACAACATACAGATGAGAAGTATGAGCTATTTTTTTAATATCATACTTAGAAAGAATTTATCGTAAAATCTATATAAAGGCGAAAGTATAATGTCAAATCGGCTACTTAAGATAAATAAACATGAAATTTAGGCTCTAAGGTTTGATGAATCTACCACACTTGTATATTATCATTAGAATGTAATTAAGAAAGTCAGCTTCTATAATAATAAGGATAAGGACCGTAAAATTTCATACTTGTGATTTATTTATCAGATCTATTTGTTCCTTACGTTTCCTTCGCTTTCTTAATACTTTAAATTGATCGCCACTGAGTGAAACCCATTCAATCACAATAGCAGCTGCATCATGGACTTTAATCTAATAACTTTCTTTTTCTTAAAATTAAGTACATTTCTAAATGAATCATTAATTTATAAAACTTTATAAAACGAATTATATGTAAGATATCAACATTTTTTAATAGGCTGCATTAGATAGCTGAAATAATTGTTTGGTTTTTTGCATTGTCAAAGATCGCTGACACGTTCAAAGGATAATTAAATTTTTTTCTTGACAAGATTAATCGAGCAATTTATCACACTCGCTTCAATCTTTAAATACATTTGTCATAGACAAGAATAGTTAGTTTACAAGATTAAGAAAACCATTGCTCGATAAGCCAATTAATTAATTAAATTTGTACGACTATAAGGAGAGCATATGATTATTGAATGTACTTACAATGTACAAAGTGAGCATTCTTGGCTAATTTTCTCGTTTGTGTAATAATTTTCTCGACTGCTTTGTCGGGTAGATCGTTCTTCTTATCAGAAATACAAAATTAAAAAAAATTCATGTCCTATCCGACGACTAGTTAAAAATTGAACTTCAATTTGTCTAATAGGAACAGGCGACGAGGTGCGCCGTTTCTATATAAAATGTTTAAACAAATATCTAATTAACAATCTTCTTTTGGAATTTTCCTTTTGATTATTCGTAATTACGAATAATGTTTTCGTACGTAAAAAGTAGTGGCCGTTTCGAATATAAATCCTCGATCACCGTTAAAATGGACGAATGCTAATCACAAAAATGAAAGGACCGAATGAAATTGGCGCCTTGCGATTTATTTAATGGCTCGGATCGATAGATCACCTGAATCGTGTAGCGAGACTCATCTCATGAGGTCGGCGGCGCGCTGTCTGTCACGGTGTACCTCCTTCGGGTGCATCCTCTTCCGGTGCGAGAAGCAGTTGCCGGAGCTGGCGAAGGCCTTGGGGCAGTAGGGGCACTGGTAGGGCCTGGCCCCGGTGTGCTGGTTTATATGGAACTTGAGGTCCTGGTTGCGCTTGAAGGTCTTGTCGCAGAGCGGACAGGCGTGCGGCCGCAAATCCGAGTGGGTGATGCTGTGGGCCCGGAGAGTCGAGTTCGTCGGATAGACGCGTCCGCATACCCCACAAGGGAACTGGATTCCACTGTGGTACTCCTTGTGACGAAAGAGGTTCGAGTGCGTTTTGAAGCTGAGGGTCCGACGATTCAAGCAGAGCAAACTTTTCGTTATCAAACAATCAAGGCCATTCGCGGGATATTTTAATTTTTCATTTTTGTTTGTCGCACAGTAATTTGTTTTCGCTTTCTTTCTGTGCTTCTGCCCTTGGATACACGCGCATTTCCCTCCACCCCTCTCAATCTTTCTCACTCTTACTCTCTGTCTCTCTCTCTCTCTCTCTCTCTCTCTCTCTCTATTTCTCCTTTACCCTTCCTCTCTCTCTCTCTCCCTCTCTATCCGCCGCTTTCTTAATTTCGTTAGAATTTCTGAAATTGTCTCTGCAAATACATTGGTTCGCGACTCTGCGCCATGTGCATTTTCGATAATCTTATAACAAAGTCTTATGTTTATACACGACTATCGCGTTTATTGATTTCAGATTCTGTCGAATTCCCTGCAATGGGACTGCTTATGTAAAAGGACGATTAATGCACTTTAATTAATTGAAGTAATATTAAATCATGATAGTAAATGCTTAACGAACGATTATCGTGATCAATGAAAATCAAGTCTATCAGTTGTGACAAATTTATATCGCATTTGATTTTCATCATTTACCTTCACAACTTTGAGAACTCATGACAGATGCTTAAATAAAAGAACTTAAGCCAATGATGTCCCGTGTATTGAAAAAAAAAAAAAAAAAAAAAAAAAAAAAAAAAATAGGTATTAACGTTATTACTCGGCCTTTCAAAGAGTCAACTATAATTATAAATATGAAGAATAAAATGGAAAAATTCAAGAATGCAACTTACATTCTTCCGCAAATATCACAACCGTATTTCCCTTTAGGTCTGTGCGTTTCCAGGTGCACCTTCAGATTGCCTTTCGTTGAAATTCTCTTGCTGCAAATTGGGCAGATGAAATTTCCACTGAGAAGGCTGTTCTCGGAGCAGCTGTTGTTCTGCGACATAAGGGCACCATCGCCCTCGCACTCTTTCTCATTGCGCAATATCGACGTGGCGTCATCTACGTAATCTCGAATGTCGCTCGTTGTCGTTGGTAAATGCGACCATAGATGATCCTGTAATACTATCTGAGAGCTAAATGACTTTGCGCATATTTTGCAATCATGCTGTTTGACTTTGGAGTTAGTGAGGTCCTCGACGTTTTCCAAATCGTCCTCCTCCTCCTCGCTCTCGGCGTCTTTACCGTCCTCAATGATATCCAAGTCATCGTTCTCATTGTTATCGCATCTCTTTTCCATTTCGCTCTCAACTTCATACTCTTTCTCACATTTTTCATGAACTCTGAAATAACAATGCGTAATACAGAAATGTTTAACTAGTGTATCGATGGATTCAGTGATACTTCATCTTCATCCTCTAATCGAGGTGGCAATGGACATTGGTAGTTACTGGGTAATTACAAAAGGTATTTAAAAAGAGATTTTGCACTACAATTTCGTTAGGTCTTCTTGTGCAATAGTAATGTTTTATCTGAGATTATTAGCCAACAGTATATTTAAAACCTATTTTTATGTCTAATATAGGCACTATAATTATTGATTTACTTAATATAAAATATAAAATATTTTTAACTCATAATTATTTAATTTATCATTGTCTTTCATTTATAATTTGATAAATTGTTCTATTATTAAAACAGCTTTGTTTTGTCATTATTTATCAGTGTATTCATTTACCAAATTACAATCTAAAGCTATTATTACTTTCAATTAAATCATTAGATTACAATATTAGATCACTAACAATTCTATTATTGAAAGTATAAACGTTGAAAAACTTTCAGAATCTATTAACGAACAACATAACAAAGAGAAACGTAATTTTATCATTCTTAATTTTAAATGTAAAAGTTTTATCGAGAAAAATCAAATTATTAATTTTCATTGGCTTTTATTTATAAATGTCATATAAAAATAGACTTTTCATGCTGTTAAAAATTGATATGAACGGCAAGGAATCGGTTACATTGACAAGAAAAAATAAATTCCAACGAAAATATAAAAAGCTTTATTGTACGAATAAAATTGAATGATACATATAAAAATCGATATATCATTATGCAATATACGAAAATATATCCATTATTTTTCAATATATTTTTTCCCTTTTAGCGATTAAAGCTTATTTGTTTCCATTATTTATTTTATATGTCAATCGTTAAATATACATGCATTGACGAGGAAAAATATGTTTATAGAATTAAAATAAACAGTCTGTCATTGATTTCTCGAAATTTACAGCCATCTAATTCAATGATTTAAGGAAATTTAATGATTCGATTAAAATAAAAATAAAAATAAAAATATAACTTACTTGTTAATCAATGATAGTGGCTGAGAAGGATGAGCGCAGTAGGAATTTGCGTCTCTATCGGAGTCTTCCGAAAAATCTGAATAATCTATCGAAGATGGTTGTTCTAAAGCACATTGGAGAAAAAGCATTGGGTCAACTTTCACTTCCATTTCCTCGGTACTTGGTGTTCTTTGGCGTCCTTGTACCCGTTCCGTATCATCTGATAATTCAACAGATCCCTAGTAACATTTAGATTAGATTTTTCTTCTATTAAGCATATATATTGTTATTTTTTTTAAATAAATAAAAACATATTTTCTTCTCTATTGCGTTAGTTTGAAAATTAAAGCTCGGAAATTTAGCGACATAACAATAAAATTCCATTCGTATGATAAATTAATTAAAACGTAATTATTACAAAAATAAAATATGCCACTAGAAAAGTGCGACCTAAAAAAAAATTGACAATATTTTATCTATTATTTCGTTATGTATGATAGTTATTTCTATTGCAATTATATCATTAAATCATATAAAAATAAATTATTTTTGCTTTTTCTTAAATTAATTGTTATATTTTTAAAGGTTTCATTCATGTTTATGCAACAATTTCATTATTTTGTATACTAATATAATTAAGTTTATAAAAGAATTTCGACAACTATTGAACATAAAGGCCAATATAAAAATATGTAAATTTTATATATATATATATACAATTGGTTTAACTCAGATAATATATTTAAGTTCTGAAACATATAGGTTTTTTTTTTTATCATAATGTGTTTTCCAAACAATGTTTTATTCGAATAAATTATATTTTAATATTATACTGATGGTAGAAACTGTTAAAACAAATTGGATTGTCTATAAAGCTTTTTATTCTGTTTCTCGCCTAAATTGAAAAATAAATAATCGATCTACGGAATATCACATCGGTTTATTTATATTCTCAAACATAATAATCTTCGAAATTTTAATATTCAGCTAAAAATTAAAACAGTACTTTTCATTGTAAAAAGCGACTCACAGTAAGACAAATCCAATCCTTAAATTACTGAATCGAAAGCTACACGGGGGTTTGATAAATCCACGGTATCCCTCATATCTTACAGCAGCTGAAAATCCTTGATATCGTATGCTAATCTATTCACGAATGAGCTCTCCGTGTCCACGCGCGCGCGCGCGCGCGCACACACACACACACACACACACACACACACACACACACACATGCACGCACACGCGCATACATATGAACGCACGAAGCGAGGCTCGAAATAAAAAAAAAAATCGCGCTTCTGTCACAATTCTAGCGACGCGACACATAATTTCGCCTTGTAATAAATAATAATCGATAAGTTCAAACGACTAATCTTGTTCATTGATCCAGCTCCAGCCGATCACGGCGCCAATTCCATCGACTTCTATGACATTTTATCTTATAGAATAAATCACCTTATAAATATAAATAAAGAGTAGTTGAAAATGTAGTATTTAAAATTGTGACACATTTTGATTAGCGTTTTTCGAATCTTACGTATTGATAATTTTCTTTACACCTTTGAAAAAAAATTATAATTTAAAAATTTCATATACAGCTTCACATCAATATTCTGTGAATAATAAATCGTTGATATTCCGATAATGATAAATCATTCATTTTGTAATTTTTCCATTGTTCTTTTTGTTTTGAATTTAATTATCAATGTTAAGAGTTGTAAAAATAATATTTTAATATAATATTAGAAAAATCGATTATTTGGTTACAATATGATAAATATATTTTGTGTGTAATATTAATTAATTTGTTACTTAATAATTACAGTTTTCGGGACGAAATATTTTTCATTATAAAACGAAAATATGATTATTAATTATATGTTTCTGGCTTTTAATTGATTTCCCTTTGGTACTTTAAACAATTCGCTATATATTGTTTCTGCATTAATAAAAGATACTCCATACTCCAGACACTGTATTAATAATAAACAATAATGTTAATATTAATCTAATGGAATTATATTTTGTTTGTAATATTATAGTTAATCCAGTATAACTTTCATGAGAGTAAAACTCGTTGAACAAAAATTTAATATCTCGAAACAATGTTCTTCGAACTTGGACATTGAGTTTATTTTTCATTTATCTAAATCCTAACGACAAAATAAAAACATTATTATTTAAATTTTATAGCGCGGCGAGTTTTGATTTTCAATGAAACTCGTAGATTCTTCTATTTTTATTTTATTTATTTATTTATTATTTTAATCTTAATTGAAATTCATTATTTAGAGTAATTATACAATTATATAAATGATTGTATTCAGAGTATTGGAGTTTGCATAAAACATACATAAGAGCAAATAACGCGTATAAATCATAATTAGGCAAACGTAACTTGTGTATGAATTTAAGAGAAGATAAATAAAATTAAAATTAATAGATATTGTACTTGTCAATTTTTTGCTTAATTTATACGTTTTTAAAGAATTTTGATATTTTAATATATTTTTATTATTTTAAAATAAACAGTCGTTGTTTCATCTCTATACTTTGTGGTAATGGGGGGGGAAGGGGGGGGGGGGGAGGATATATTGCTTGAAACGTAGTTTGATAAGTACGTTGTTGTTTAAACGGATGAGACTGTTATTTTATGGAGATCGACGGAATAAAAATTAAAATCATCTAATTTTGTATTACTCAATGGATTTCTCAACGCAATTATTCATAAATGCTTATTCACTCAGTATACGAGTGAACTCATCGGAAATTGTTAAAGTTATTTATATGTATATATGTACGATCGGTTGCATAATTTTCCTAATTATTTTAATATCCTTGTAGTTTATATTATTTAATGTTAATAATAGTAATGATAATAGTAATATTACATAAGTATCGCGGACAATGCTTTTGGATAAAATTCTTCCTAAACAACTATAGGCACGTCATTATCATAGGTTTCAATAATAAACATTGTCTATAGCCACGGAGTCATTAAAAATGTATTTATATCTAATGAATATTAAAGATCTCCTCGTGTGCAGTATTATGACTTTATAAATCTATAGTCAAGGAATGAGCCGAGATTGAAAATTTTTGACTACTGAAGCACTTAGCCCGACCATTGAGTTAGCAGCGATTAATCCTACTTGATTATAAAATGCGTACTTTTGTTAATATCGAGTGCAGAAGGCCACGATCTCCAAGTTTATTTAGGGAACTATCGGAATTGTCCAGGCAGTCGACAGTAACGACTAATCCCGAAGTTGTCCTGAGTAGTTCTTGTTTCAGTCTCTCCTGAGTTTTTAATGCCATAGTAGCGAATGCGTGGATGCCGTCCAACTTGCCGATGCAAGGCGCACAAACCATTTTCGGTAATCTGTCCTCGGAGGAGACCTATTTCAAAATAGAAATGCTTTATGAAAAAAGCACTGTTAGAGTAAGCCGTTAAAGCGATATTGTGTGAGTAGCTCAAGTGAATTCGAAATATGATGTAGATGTGATTGCATGTAATGTAATAATCCTCGGCGCATAGGGCAATTTTTAATTTAAGCGTATAATGAACGTTTACAACCGTTGGTAATCGATGCTTTTGTAAATTAAAATGTAAAGTATGGAAGTCGATGAGCATGAGGCCCAAAAAAATGATAATACTAGAAAATTAACGCTGGAAGATTTAGTTTATGCTCGTGCACTTTTTATTAATGTAAGCATGTGTATTTTCATTTTTCATAAAGCAGCGCAAATTGTTGTAGCAAAATTTAATGGATCAGGTATTTGGTAGTAGATTGAATTTCCGTCGGTTTACTTTGCCTTTGCAATGAGAGGATGAGAGAACGAGAAAGAATTTACATTATCAGCATTAATTAAATATTATTATAAACGAGTCTCTATCAAATATTGATAATATTACAAAGCAAAAATTAATTCTTCTATAAGGTGCAACTCTGACTCTTGAATCGCATTAATTGAAAATTGCATTTAATTAATTGAGACTAGCAATTCACCGATGTTCTTATATCTAATAAACTTGCAATTTCAAATGAGAGAAAAGTAATGGGAACGAGTGAAGGAATCGAAAACAATTCACATAAAAAAATATTTAAGTATTATTGATTTTTCAAAATAACTCTTATTACTTTTATATTAAAACTTCATTATAAAAGGTATGGAAGTATAGGCAGCAAAGTTAATTAAAAGGGACTAGTCACTACAGATCAAACCAGCTATTTAAATTTCTCGATAATTCTTTCATTTGAATACAAAAAAAATCTTTTATAGCAATTCCTACGAGCAAAATGGCTAGTCTCACGAATTTAGTATTGACAAAATCAAGAAACTATATCAACGTCCATTATGTACATCTGTCATGGGTAATGTCAATGAGTATCGGTCGTTGATCCATAATGCCCGCAATTGAATGAAAATATTAAAAATGCACATAAAAAGCGTAAGAGCCATTAGAGAAAATATTATAATCGACAAAGGATCCGAACATTCTGGAAATGTCATTTTTCATACATCTCCGCCAATGGTAGCTAATCGCGAGTTAATCCATCATTACAACGTAGGTCCATCCGCGTATTAATCTAGGAAAATTCGCGAACCATGAATTACTCGTTTTCCCAGCGTCGCGCGCATCCACTCCGATTACCCCTTCGTACACCTCGCCATACCCCTCCAAAATACATGCGCGCGCGCAAACAGAGCGACAGAGAAACTTTGGCAGATCGACAAAGCAGTCACAGACAGATGCAACGCGCGCTAATGTCGGGCCACGGAACCCTGCGTTACTCTCCTCACGCCCTCCGACACCGCCACCGCCACCGCCACCGCCACCGCCACCGGCGCCGCCGGCCCGCCCCACCCCGCTTCCGCTACTTTCCCCTCCGCCGTCAAAATCACCGCCACCACCTCCACCTCCTTCTCTACCTCACCCTGGCCCGCCGCCGCTGCCGCCACCGCCGCCGTCACCACCGCCGTGCTGGTAATCAATAAAATGCTAATTTTTTACACTCTTACAAAGGAGGTCCGGGCCGCGATACCCGAATCCAGCGATCCGCACCCGTGACCACGACGACTCTCGGCCGAGCACCTCTTTTTCCATTCACGGCGCGATCGCCATATCTGGCACCGATCGCCAAGGCCAAGGTCCCTCCCCCCTGAGAATCGCCACGCGGTCCGCCAGAAGTGGGTCCGCGCCGATATCCTTCTCCCACTTCGCTCTCACCCCTATAACAAGTTGCCCTCCCCCGTCCTGCCCCCCCCCCCGCAATCCTCCATCATAACCGGCACGCGTGTTAACCCAGCAGCCGGGCTTGGCTTTGGAAAATGGAACGGTGAAATTGTGTCTCTCCAGCATCTTGGATTTAAGGAGGCACGTAGTCCGATTATCGGGATGCCGTTGATGGACGAATTGGTCCAGGGGACCAATTACATACGACGGGCCGAATCTCGATAATCTGCGAGCTCAAATTCATTGTCTATCGGGTATATACGACGAGCGTGATTAATCGGACGTTGTGTTTGCCAGATTGACGATGCAAGTGTAGATAAAACAGCCTTGGGCCAGTCTAACGAGCGCACGCACTGCATTAGTAAAGTGATTTTTTGAATTAGCAAATGTATGATTATTAAACGCGAGTATGTATGGAGTGTTGGTTATTCGGGGATATTTTGGATTGGACGACATGCTAAAGGGAAAATCGATGCGCGAAAAATCGGTCGTCGTCGTCCGCTTTGGAGAAACACGTGATAAGGTGGAAATGACTCGGAACTCCGTGGCAAACGGGGAAACTGGTTTTCGCACGTTGGTATACGGCCGAGAGCATCGAACGTTCCGGCAAGGAAAATCGGTAGCGTCCCAATGTAAGCGGAAGCCCAAGTGTCAAAGAGGAGGGACGGTGTCGGGGATAGGCGCTTGCGATGACGCACCGAGATGTACAAGTACTTGCGGATGTTCCTTTGGAGGTTTCGGCGTCTTCCCTCATCGGCAAATATCCGAGCGGCCTTGGCCTGGACCGAGCCCGCACAAATCCTGCAGCGCCGCATCTCGGGTGGCTCGACACCGCTCGCGTCGAGCTCCTCCTGGCCCTCGGGCTCCTCACGGACGAGAGGATGCTGGGCCTTCGTCGTGCCCATGCAGTCCCGCTCCTATCGCCTTATCGAAGACTCCTCTCGATCCTCCGCCGGCCTTCTCGCTAACACGGCTCCAGCGGCATATCCCCCGTCGGCCTCCTCTGCCTTAGCCGGTGCTCGGTGCACACGCTGCGCCCGCGCGAACTGCACTTTTTCCACTAGCCTCCTCCACGACGACAATTACACTAGCGGCCAACCCGCGATACAATCGCGCCTCACGGTGTCAGCATAGGTGCATCATTTTTAGCGGTAGGCGCGCGCGCGCGAACAAACGAATGAGCCAACGAACCAACGAACGAGCAAGCGAGTCCAGTATACGAATTCGGCCGGCGTTTTTCGCGCCTCCGGAGTACGAGGAGCAGTCGCTTCCCGCGGGAGCCGTCGACCGAAGGGAACAGGAGGAGCGGGAGTAGCTGATGGAGCGGGCGGAG